GGGTAGTTCAGTCTGGTTTCTCTCCAAACCGAGCGAGCAAAGATAACTCAGATCACCCAATATACTTGCCATCCTAACGGCCAAGTGCTCTGCAGGCTGTACGAAATCCATTGTAAAGCTCGTCCCGCGACAAGCATACAGGGGACAGGATACGTACCCTTTGCGGGATGAGTTGTTTGGCCTACCTGGATATTGCGGATAATTTATCCCCTAGCGTCGGGTTTGCCTGTAGTAGCTTGAGCTACTTGAGTGCTGTGTTGGACTTTGATTCAGCGGCGAAAGGTATCGGTATCTATTGTAAATAGGAGGCATTTCATGTCAGCAGAGCTTGTTACCTTAATAAGCCAGATTAACGGCAATCAGTTGTGTCAATAATCCTGTGTCGACATATGTTGTAGTCCTTGACCCTTAATGAGAAGGCAACTTTTGATCAAGATACTATCTCTGGAACGGCAGTCGCCAGAGTCCGGGCAGTCTACGATAACTTAAGTTGATGGTGGGTATTTGTGGTTACGTGTACTTAAGATATAAGGATGTTTGTGATATTAATATTTAGCAATGTCGGAGAAACTTTAGGGTATAAATAAGCTATGTACTGCTTAGGGACTCCCCATCCCACCGCCCCTCATCATCAGTCCGACTGAATTTGACGGGGATATTAATCCCGCTTATCAACTTCACGAGGCCAGTGAAAGCCACGGAGGGATTGGGACTGGAGCTTCGATACGACATTTGTAAACCAACCCATTGGACTCCTATATTTTTCGATTGCAAAAGTGTCAAGTCCTTCTCCTCTGATGTCTTGGCTGCAAATTCCATTCTGCGGATCTCGAATCCACGAGGTCCTGTTACTAAGGCGCCTTCCATTTCGCTCACAGGCAGCTGGAGAAATTCGTCCTTACTGATTCCTTCTAGCTTATCGATAGAGGTCAGGTGGGCGATTCCAAACTTATCCAGGATTTGATACGCAGTTAATTTTCAGTCGCGGAACGTTTGAGTAAAAGTGTCTAATCCTTTTCTGATTTTGTTGATGGCGTGACTTGGAACTCGCTGAGGGAGCCCATTCTTGCATCTCTCCAGCTGAAGCGCGTGTTGATAAGCTTTTGGCTCTTGTGGCTCCCTTTGATTTGTTTTGATGTTATTCTCAAATAGGATCCGACGGTTGAGACTCCAATAGCCAGAGGTGTCTTTGATACAAGGTCCATCTCGCAATGTTTAGGCAGCAGACCATCTGGCGTAAATTCAAAGGTGACAATCGCTGAAGTGACGAGTTGTTTCGCAACGGATAATGGGGATTGTACTGGCTCTATAGCCGTTGCAATTATGGTGTATACTGAAATGTCTTTCGTGGGATAAAATGAAGTGATGACCGCTTTAGATTGCGATTGAACTTTGATTGTAACGGACAATTGGTGATCCTCTATTTTCTCTACAAATATACAACTTGATAGTTGATGAAGTGCCTGTTTCCTTTCAGTTACCAGGATCGAAAGAGCCCTGCACAGCCTGTATCGTTGGCAGACTTTGGATCGAGAGTCGTTCATGTGGTTCAAACTTGAAGTTAACACTACTCACATCAACCGTCGCTCGGTGACCTTCTATATGATTGAATAGTTGAAATTGCAAGGTTTATATTTGTGGCAGAGCCTTTGTCGACATGAATGACCTCCACAACGAAGCTCTCCGGCAAGAATTCTTCCCACTCATCCAGCTCAGCGTCAAGGGTGACGGCACTAAGAATAGAAGAAGGAAAGCCAAAGTCAATTTGCTGGCACAACAGCTTAATTCCTTTCACCTCGCCAGATACAATATCGTTTAAGGCACTTTTGAAGAAAGGCAGGGCGTTATTCATCAATCCCAACTCACGATTGGATAAGATTGGTGCATTCCAGGCTGGAGATAACTGAAGAAGGGTCGGTATTGTTGTGAACCGTAAAGCCCACCGAGGAAGATTCCTAGTATCTTGATAGAGAGTAAAAGAGGTAGTTGCGGACAATGGCCATCTATCCTGTCTCATCATGTCGACCTGCCAGTCCAGTAACACGCAGAGAACTCTTGATCTGCTTTCTGGCAATGTCGGCGACAAAAAGTTCCGAGCCCTTGTCACGAGTGTCAAGAGAGTCCCAATCAGGAACGGTCTCTATGTATGAAGGGACGTTACCCGTCATCTGGATAGGATCAGATCCATTGAATATTGCGTACTTTCCGTAAACACGGGAACGCCGGATTGGAAGCTTTCTAGACCTAAAGAGACTGTTGATGTTTCTACCAACTAGCTTGTCAAGATTGTTCATTGCCTTCTAATTTAACAACTCCGTGCTTCGAAGAAACAGGGAAGCTTGACGGTGAGGACTGGACTTAGCAATGACCATTGCCAGTCTAAGGCATTCGTAAGGTTTAGTATTGTCCGCATCTCTAGAGCCTTGGGAGCTGAGGAAATAGCCATTGGATATGAAAAGAGAATGGAACTTCTGGGCAGATGAAACTGCAATGAGAGCGGAGTATCGCTAAGACCATTCAGACACTCTACCATCGTGCTTCTGATCCATCCGATATGTCCAAAGCTCAGCATATCCGTTGAAAGAGCCGGTCTTCGATATCTCGTGGTCAAAACTTCCCAGGTGGATCGGATCGGAATCTATGTCAAAAATCTGATCTTTCAGACACAGAGCCGTAAGTCGCTCTGTCACTGTCCAGTACCTCCTCAGGTTTCCTGGGTAGATGAAGCTCGGATTCTTTAGAATGCTTCAATGGATTAAGCTCCATATCCAGAACACTCTTGCATTGCGCCAGATACGGCGTTGGCCTTGATCGTAGTGCTTTAAGATACTTGAAGCTATCATGCTCTCCAAGAGTTTAACTCAACACAGAGACCAAATAGACCACGGCCTGCTGGATGTGCCCGTCTTTAATTTGGCTGAGTTCAAGATTGGAAACCCAATCTGAGCCAGGTGCCATTTTATCGTCATTTGACCATGTCGTTGTGGTCTTCCCTCAGTAGGCCAAAGATTAACCTTGAGCTTAACAAGAGTTCGAAATAAAGATCATTAGAAGTCACAACAAGAACACGCAGACCAGGGATCCATAGGTTGATGAGACTGCCTGGATTGCATGCCAACGGCGATTGATAAGACACTACTATAAACAAGTATTACGCTTTGTGGTAGCAGTACGTTCAGTGCTCCGTACCCAGATGCTTTGTGATTGCTGGGCAGGTAAGGTCTGGAATCTAGGGGGGACGGCCAATACAAAAACAGAGACAAGGATCGCTTCGATCACCGCTAAGCTTGAATCAACTAGCGATTTTTAGAAAACCCCGCCCAATCCAAGGAGTAAAAAGCATCAACCCAATGGGGCAGCAGCACCTTATCTTTCAAATACAACATCTAGGAAATCCTGATGGTAAATCGAAGGGGTGCTTTTTGTTTTTCTGGCCTGTGCTTTACCTGCGAATTTCCAATAGATTTGGCTTTAGGGAGTAACCACTCAAATACCAGAGGTAAACCTTACGCTCTGCCAGCAGATACATTTGGACCCCCCTAAGACTTCCGACTAAGAGTCTGTCTCGAATGGGCGAAGTGTTACACTAATTGGACTGGCATTTGGATATGCTTATGGCTTTGTAGCTTTTGTTCCGGGCTGGGAACTGGTCTCACCTTTTCACATAATTGGAGTTCCTAATGGGAGCGTGTGCCTGAGGCAAAGAAGGGTGGATACCTGTTGAACACAGTACCCACTGTGATAAGTACTGCGCGTATGCATTAGCTGAATGTATTTCAGCTCTCCACATCCGAGTCGAGACTCTTGGCCGCAAGCCTACGGCAAATGAACGGCCTTATGATTTGCCGCTCTTCCGCATAATAAATACCTCAGAGATATTACCCCAGTTCATCTCACATTCAAGTTATCATCTCCATTACACTCTGATTCATTGCCCTTCATCATCAACATAGCAAATACCAATAAGCAAAATGGCTGAATCTGTTAGCACAGTCGAGCTAGGCGATGAAATTACCGTTGAAGTTTCAGACCAGAGCATGTCCATTCCGGTCAGATTCAGCCAGAATCGTCAGGAAAAGGTTGTGGATTACTATTCCGGCACCTTTACCAATACATCCCGCAGTGAGTTTCCTGATAACTCATTTAATGAGAGGTGAAATTGACATTGCTTTGGAAAGATGAAACTGGTGTATTCTTTGTACAGGTCAAACTCTTACCCAAGCTCTTGGAACGATTTCCAACAAAGGTCGTGAAAATTGATGACACGTTCCAGTATGGCCAAAAGGACAAGACAGGTGCTAATCGATGGGTCGTCTTCCATGACAGGGCCCTGAAGCCTTTTCAGGTAAGCAAAACCCATATTGAATATCCTCAGAGATTTGAAGCACTAACCAGTCGATCCAGCATCGCTTCGTCGACGGTCTCGGCAAAGGATATCAATTCAGCCAGTCAGGCCTCGAAGTGATTTCGAAAATGGGGTTTACTCCAGGCGAGAATGGTGGCAAGTTATTCGAAGAGATAAGTAGAGCGCTCGGGCGGTATCTATATACGTTTGGAGAGAAATGATTAGTGAGATAAAGTCGGCAAGAATAAATAGTGAAGATACGTGCTTAATCAAGTTACATCTCTTAGTTATGGTTTGTTAGTAGATTTTAAACCTGTTCTTTTGCAGTACTTTTTAACAGCGTTGCTCTATAAGACTCGCAAAACGGAATAGAATAAATATAGTTAAATGGTAAGTTGAGTCTAGTGATGGCGTTTGGATAGCTTCGATATGCAGGTTTTGCCTGTTAGTTTAGTATTTACGGAAGGCTTTTATACATAAAACGCCTGAGAGTCGAAACATGGGCGTTCAATTGATTAGCAGGCTGCCAGTGCCTAACTGATCCAGATACAATTTCGAGCCAAATGCTAGAAACGGATATTATCAATCCACTCCTCGTTACCACGATGGTATGGGTCTACCAAGGAATATATATAGGGCCAATGAAACATAACGCCCTTAACAGATGACCATCTCGAGAATCACCATCTTATACTCTCTCGGGCCCCTCACTTCTTGGAGTGTATCCCATAATATCATTATAGCCTTTGCACTCCCAGTTGAACTCAAGGGCGGCCTTGCAGAGCGCGAGGCCATAAGTGACGCATCCCGCCGTGCCGTTCTAGCTTTCGACCACGCCGACGAAGCACTCCTTCTGTCAGCCATCACCAAGGATATCGACGCCGAGATGCCCGGTTCAACGGCCCACGGCATCACAGGATTCAAGGCGGCAGTCTTTGACCGTGTCTTCAAGCTCGACACAACTCGTTCTCTCTCTAATATACGCATTAATATCACGAGCAGCAGTACCGCGACGGCAACATGCTCGGCATTGGCCCAGCATGTTCATCCTGGACAGGGTGTCGATCCAAGTTCGGCAAAGTTCATGTCGGGTGCTTTTTATACTTGCAATATGGCCAAGGTTGAAGATCTGTGGAAGATGGAAACTTGGAAGGCGAATATCGTCTGGCTGGATGGTGATCCTACAGTTCTCGCGGGGGAGTAAGCAGATCACCTCATCACGCGCTCCAGGAGTCACCCTTATATATCATAATGGGTCAGTCATGCTCCCATATGTTTTAATTTACAAGATAATGGTAGACACTGTGGAATGAAGTCTATCCCAATCACAATAATATGCAAGCCTGTCCTTAACATATCACAATCTTATTCAGGCCTCGCGACCAGCAGCAGAGGCCAACAGGGTTAAATACCTCTTATGCGGTACGGTGTTTCGTTTCGTATCGAGGGTACACATGGGCCACCCGAAAATCTAAGCAAGCAAGCAGAACCAGGGAAAGTTGTGCAGCAGGTAAAGCTCACTCTTTATCCATATCGTCATCGAAAATGCCCTTCCAGTCTTCCTCATATGCCACGATCTTCCACTCTCTGGCCTCGCATCGCTTTGCGGCCAGCTGAACAGCAACTGTAGCCGCCTCATCTCCAAGCTTTCCGTACTCACCGCGCAGGTCATCGTATTTCTGATCCAGCTCGGCAATCTCATCTCGCTTCATCTTGGCCTCCCATATATGCCAGACGGCTTTGACACGAGCCTTCGTAGCAAGCAGCGCTTTGCCGGCTTGCTTTTCGTCTACTAGTGCATCGTGGATTTGGACGGATAGATTGATGTCTTGGGAGAGGGTGTTGGGGTTGTGGTTTTCAGAATTTTGCAGATGAGCGTGGCGGTCACACTTGACATCGTCCGCGTTGGAGCTGGACTGTCTGCACTCGGCGGCAGGTCCAGCTTTATTGATGGAGGAAGTGTCGATAATATTGCCAGTTCCGAAAATGTGATTATCGCTAGCAACTCGAAGCATCTGAAACGCTCTGTCTTTACCGAGGATGTAAGCGACGACACTGGCAGAGGTCTGGTACGCAGCCTGAGCTTGTTCAACAGCAGTTTTGGCTTTGTGGAGGAGTCGCTTCTAGTCGCTCCAGGTGAAAGTGGCCAAAATTCGTTCGTAGTCAGGCCGGGACTTTTGTTGGCTTTGGTGCGCGTTGCTGTGGGGGAGATTGGCCGGAGAAGAAGGCTCAGTGTCAATCGCGCGAGCCTCATCAACGATCACGGGAGCTTTAACATCGGCCCTCAAATCTTTCGCAAGAGCCTCAACTTCAGTTACAAGAGACCCAAGGTCGGCGACAAGAGTCTCAAGTGCCTGAAAGCCGCTGGTTGGGCAATCGGCGCTCTTGTGTCACCGCTGTCTCTGAACGGGCGACATGTCTGGCTCTTGCTCGGGTGATGGAGTTTCAAGTGCGTCGTAAAAGGTATTAAAGACTGACATTAAATCAGTATCTTTATTAAAAGACTGGTTATAGAGAAATGCTAATTATAACTGTTTTTAATATATATTTTAATAATATATTATTACCT